GCAGACGATATAGTCCTTCTAGGTGAAGACGCTGACGAAATGCAGAGTCTTCTAAACACCTTGAGCCGCAATCTACGAATGTTTGGCATGCGATTCGCTCCGCCAAATGCAAGATGATGTTACAGGACTGGACTACATCGACGCCTAGTTTAAAAATAGGAAGTGAAGTGGTAGAGCACGTTGACCGCTTCACTTATTTGGGAAGTACCATCAGCCAGTGCCAACGGGTTGATCTCTGACGAAATCTCAGCACGAATACAAGGGGCTCGTTTCGCATTTGCCAGTTTACGCCGACTCTGGCGTAGACGAGATGTTCGACTATCGACCAAAGGGCAGGTGTACTGCTCATCAGTCCGCTCCGTCCTCCTTTATGGTTGTGAGCGAGACCTGGCCACTGAGAGTGGAAGACATGAAAAGACTAGCTGTCTTTGATCATAGGTGCCTGCGCTCTATTTCCCGTGTAAAGTGGCATAATAAGGTGAGCAACATTGAAGTTAGGCGTCGAGTTCTAGATAAACAGGGTAAATCAATCGACGAAGTCGTGAAGTTACAAAGACTGAGATGGTTAGGACATGTGTTACGTATGCCAAGCCATCGCCTCCCTCGACGAGCAATGTTAGCGGATATAGGGTCAGGCTGGAAAAAAGCTAGCGGCGGTCAAACAAAAACTTGGCCTCACCAGTCAATGAAATCCACAACAGTTGGTCTAAGCCACGTAGGAAGGTGTAGACTTCCAGGCTGGGGTCCTCGGGACGGTAAAAATCTATGGTTGGAAACAATTGGTGACATGGCTCAAAATCGTTCTCAGTGGCGCAGATGCATCCACTCCTTGTGACTTATGATCTCCAATGAAACTGTTTTGTTCTTCGTTTTTACTCCTCCTTTGTCTCACACCTCTGCTCACTGTTTCTATTATGCTTTTCTTGTACTTTCTTCTCTTGCTTGCTTCGCGTGCTACACGGAGTGTGGCGACTTGAACTACCGCACATTTGTGCAAAGTTCTATGTCGAAAACAGACAGACATTTATAAAATCAGGGAACTTACATAAGAAGAGCACACAGACCAGTCAATATACACATTTTCACAGCTTTATTCCTCTCAAATATAAAAGAAATTTGCCAAAGACCCTCAGCTGAAGAGTTAGAGCTATTTTTCAGAAGATAACATCGAAGATGAACTTAAAGATGTTAATTGAAAACCTATACCTTGGAAAGTTTATCAAGAAACACATAGCCAAAAGTGTAGGAAAGAATCCTTCTACATCTGTTAACAAGAAGCCTCTACGTATACGACTAAAATTCAAAGGTAATATACCAAGCGAAATAATAACCAACAGGTTGAAAAAATCGATTCGAAAAACGTTTAATACCGGCAGCCTGCACCTTATATTTTCCACACAGCCGGTTGTTATTCCGAAAGTGAAAGATTCAATTCAACTGCTCCCCTGGAGCCGATTATATAACCCACCAGTGGTGTTAAAACCACCAACAGTTATATATTACATCACCTCGCCTAACAGTCCACAAAAAACTTGCATTGAAGAGTCTTTCTCTATCATTTATCGAATAAATTACTAAAGACCTCAAGATACCAAACACCAGAGGCCACTGTGACTTGCTTAAATCAACCGCAGCTCTGAGTACGAAAAAAAGAGTTCTAGTCACATCTGGCATGTCGGCCGGCTGTAGAATCTAAAAATTCATAAATTCCGCATTAATTCCTTAAGTCTATCTGACATTCAGATTAGTGCTATTTTCATGCATATTATCTCTTACTGCTGATTATGAACGGCAATTTATCGATACTATTGATTCAATGTAATTTTAAAAAATTAGTGTTGTTATAATAACAATAATTCTTCAATTATTATGGTCATATAACTGTATAACTTGATGACGAAGTTATCGAACAAAAAATATTCCTTCTTCACTAATCAGCATTTCATTGTAGTTATTTTGCGCTCGTTTGTCCACCTTTGTGTTCTACATGGAATGTAACAACTTGAACTGCTGAACTTCTACGCTGAAACTCTGTCAGTCAGTAACAGAAGAAGCCAAGAGCTGCAGCACAATCACTACTGGTTTCAACCTGAAAAGATGTGATGCTTGAAGTTCACCAGTTGGACGCTCTCTTAAACTTCCCCTTCAGAGGTACAATGCACTGAAGAATGCCTACCCAACACAAAAAGCTTTTACACTACAGTGTTACATTGTTCAGTAACCCTTTTTTCTGCAGCGATTAATAATCTAAAATTGAAACTAAAATAGTTAGTGAAACTGTATATCCCAAAGATGTCTCAAAGACCATTAACTGTAACACTGACATTTGAAAGCCAGTTTCACTTATAGATAAGAGTAAGAATACCAAATGAAGAGTGTAATGGAAATCCTTAGGGGATTTGTTTATCTGATATAGCATTCGTACAATGTTACCTATTGGATTACTTTCCGGACACAACAGATATGAGGATAGTCATAAAAATGCAAGTAGTATCAACTGGTTGTGGATGTCAAATAACGCTCAAAACATAGCAAATACGTAAGATATGAAGTCAGTTTCCATCACGAGCTGACATCAGTTGGAGAACGACAGGATAACAAGAAACACTAGATAGACGTTTCGCACTGATTCAGAAGTCCCCAGCAGTGCGCATCCATGACCATCAGGTTACATGGTTATCCCATCATTTATCGGGTTGGGATAAAATGATCCGTAAACCCGAATTTCTGGCAATTCGTGAAATAAATTGCTACTGTCGTCGGAAACTATTTGTCCTCACACTCGGCATCGTTGACCTCATCGGCTAGGACTTATCACTAGCGACTAGAAATGCCACCCTGTAGTCACTCATGAGCAGCAAACCAATTTTCAAGTGTTTGATTCTGTCTCTGCCTGTCTTGTGTTTGATTACGAGGATTTGACTGATCAAAAAGATGATTTCATCACAAACCAAACCTATTTTGAGAACCACTGAAAAGTAGGGGATGCTATGGTTGATTCATGAAAAACCTACCTTGGAGTCAATTAAACTCATACAATTCCACACCTGAAAATTTGAATTAGTTTCTGGCAAAATGGAAGTTATGCTATATGTCGGGGAGAAAACCCATGAATCTACTGTCTTTCAGTTAAGAGCTGCTAATACAATCCTACTGAAATGCAAAATGCTAAGTGGTACCATCATTCAACCGGTTCTATAGACTGAATCATGCAACAAAGTAAGTCATCCATCTCATCATTGAATTGTACTGTTTGAAAACAGCCAGCAGAGATGTTTTCGTGGCATTTATATTTCAATCTTCAACACCTTGCATTCATAACTATTTATACACATCAGTTCAAATGATATTTTCTGTCTTGTTGTGGCGAGGTGAACACAGTCAGTAGTGTGTTACATACTACACTGTAACACGTCCATTATGTTGGCATCTTTCCACTTTTACTATGTATATAATAAAAAACTGAATCACTCGGTTTGCACATGTTCAACTAACAGGCTAACTTAATATGTGAGGGTGGTTATCGAGGTAGTAAGATATCCAGACAGGCATAAGTTGCCAGACGGATCACTTGAAGCTGGCACAGATTAATTTTATAGGCTAAAAAGCACAGTGATACAGTATTATTTACTGACCACAATATATAGCTCACAATCATATCAAGGCATTCCCATAACTGACACTTAAACCTAAAAACCCACTCAGGGATAGGAGCCTACTGACCCAATTTAACAATACAATCTAATCTACAAAACACATTGCAATGAATATGTGGTCAGCTAAACAAATCAGACCAGAAGATCGGAAGGGGGGGGGGGTAATCAGGTTATCGCAACATTGAAGTTTAGCTAAGTGTAAAATGATTAACCACAGTAAGATGAATAACTGAAACACAACAAATGCAATGCAAGCACTAACAAACATAAAGAGGGCTATAATTCTAAAAAATATTACAGGTAGGTGGAGGGAGAGGTTGATCATCGAATCCACACCCAGTAGGTGCAATAAGAATGACGTAACGCCAATACCAGAGATATGGAAAGTAATTATTGATATAAGTATAAAACTTGGGCACTGTGGTGGAGTATAACTCCATTATAGATAAGATTTTATTTTGATCAATCACAGTGTTGTACAGTTATATGAACTGATGACGTTTCGAGAACAAACTATTGCTCATAATCATATCAAGTTACTCACACAACTTTTTTCTTTCATTTATATACATGTGTAGAATCGATTAGATATTGGATAAGCTGTAACAGCAGAAGACAAGGGCCAGGCAACAAATCGTTTATTAAAAAAGTCAACATATATTTATAGATATTCATGTACATTAACATAGATTATTGTTAGCAGACAAACACAGTCTTCTGGTTGGTTGTTTCTCACTGAAAGTTAATCTTTCATCTCTTTGTGGCTGTTTCGTAAACGTCAGATCACCTATCTGCTAACTGTATCCGCCTACGTAAAGTCTGCTGTGATTGATTGTAGAGTCAGTCTTTGTTTTCACATAACCTATATTTGGGACATAAGCATTGACGTAAATTGCTGTCCACCAATTTGGCTAGCAGCCAGCTCTCACCACAATACTACCAAAAAAACCAGGGGAGACGAAATAATCGAACAATATAGACAAAATTTGGAAGTCATGCACGAGTGGCTTGATACGATTATGAGCATTAAACTGTGCCTGAAACACCATCAGTAAATAATACTGTATTACCGTGCTTTTCACCAAATAAAATCATTCCATAATGGAATTATACCCTACTACAGTGCCTAAATTCTATCCTTATACCAATAGATTATGTGAAAGTTAACTGCTTAAGCCAAACATACGTCGGTGGCACAGTGGTTGGGACTCTCGCCGACCATGCACATAGTCCGGGGTTCTATCCCCTGCCGATGCACACCTGATATCCATGATCGGCCTGAAAAATTTGGGCTACCAATATCACATGCTGAAAATTCTATACCTGTAACAAAAAACACGGTGTGGAATCAAGCTGTAATCAAAAATAGTAAAATAATTCTTCACTGCTTATACCAGGATGAACTTAACTTAAGACTTTGAGTAAATTCTCACAATACACAGATTTGAATTTACTTCAGTATGTACTAACTTGTAGAAATATATTAAACATATTTCAATGCTGAATAATCAAGAAACATGCAATATCATTTTGTTTGGTTCTGTAGTAGTACATAGAATATTTTTTTCAGTACTGACTAAATCCAAGTTTCAATCAAAAATGTGAGTAATAATAATAATAACAACCTAAATGTAAAAAGAAACGATGGAACGGTCAAAAAGTCCATCTACAGAGAAGAAACTTGGACCGGACAATACCTTCACTACAACAGCTTCTGCCCTATGACCTATAAGAGGGGATTAGTAAGGACACTCTACGGCAGGGCCAGGAAGTTATGTTCGCCTAACAAGGTAAAAGACAAATTAAGCTTTGTTGAAAAATGCCTTAAGGAAAACGAGTATCCAAAAGGAATTATCCTAAAGTACAGCAAAGAAGGAGATGAGAAAGAGAAGTGTCCAACAGTTGAAAAGAAGAAAGTGTTCATTTGCCTGTCATACAAAGGAGAAACCGTATCGCAAAGGATTGAAAATATGATGAAAGGAGCAATAAAGAGATGCTTCCCTGCAGACAATCTGGTGACACTATACAGTACTACATGCACTATAAGCCAATCGAAACTGGATAAGTACCCTGCTGATGTTACTTCCAACTGCATTTATAAATTTACGTGCACCTGCAGCAGCAAGTATATTGGAAGGACAGAAAGGAGGGCTTCTATCCTATTTTCTGAGCATATTCCAAGAAACTTATGCTCAAAAGGAAGCAGATAATTACGAGGTTCAATTGCCAGACACCTTATGGATACGGGTCATTTTGTTGAGATTTCCAAATCCTTCAAACTATTAAACATACAAAGGACAGCGAATCTACTACGATTTGCTGAAGCAATTGCAATCAAACGTCACAGACCAAACTTATGCATACAGAAAGAGAGTGTAGTCGATCTCTCACTCCCTTGGTAACCATATCACTTTCATTACACTGATTAGTCATACACACTAGTGGGCTCAACTCACTAAGCAAGTTTTCAAATTGATGAACTTTGACCTGCTTGAGTTGCCATGTGGACACTGTTTATTAGATTTTTCTGTTTTCTCTCTTCTTTCATACCCGTTTTTTCTTTTTCATAGTTTGATAGTACATAAATTGATGATGCGTTCACCTTATAATGTTTTCTCTATTACCTTTCAAACAATGAAGTATGAAATGTTGTTATTTATAACCATTGTAATTTCAGGTAGTTTGCGGCTGATGATTACCTGTGAAATAGAATGATATCATTTTATACTGCAAATCTGGTCTTTCTTTCTCTATCGAAATAATAACAACATAACAAAGTGCTCACCTCTACTAATGTCAAGAACTATTACAAAACACAAACACATCGTGAGAAATATGCAAAACTTATTTGTAGAACACCACGAAGTTAACACCTAATGGGAAATTTTAACATAAACGTACGTTACAGATGTGAAACTAAACATATAACAATAGTTGCTCAGGATAATATTCCTAATTTCTGTCCGAAGAATATATGGGATTTAACAATAAGTTGCAGAAATATGCCAGTTTGTAAGAGGAATATACCCACATTCAGATTTTAAACTTGTGATTTCAATTTCCTTAGGAGATAAATACAAGATGAGATGGAATATGAAGGACACATTGACATTGTAAGAAAGTTTTTTTATGCCCTAAATCGGTTTGGATGAATAATACAATGAAAAAAATTGTCCTAATAAATGGCATATATATTTCCCGGGACTGTACAGTTTTGATAGTACTCAGTTTGAATAAATGCGAAAAATGTAATGATGACAGCACAATGACATGAATGGAAAAAAGGGCTTAAAAATTTGAAGAGCTATGAATTATGCCAAACGAGGAAGAAATATTAGCAAAAATGAATATATGCATTAAAGGGATATTTGCATCAGGAAATAACAAACACAAAACATACATTTACAAAAGTCATATATATATATATATATATATGAAAATATGGAAGAGTAATTTCAGTTAGTTAGCGGCTCGTTCTGGTTCTGCTAAACCATTTGACTTTTTGGCTACATCAACTTCCATCTTATCCACAAAATCATGTTTTGAATCAGAACGCTACAAACAAACAAAGAAACAAAAAAAAGGAAAAGATCAAATAAATCAGATAATGAAACAATGAACATTCACAATTCATCACATGTAAATGAAATGCTGCTTTATATTGACTTTGACATTCAAATCTGAACTTGAGTAAAGATCTTGACTACGTTGTACATACTGGAGTTTAAGCAGTTAAGTTATGTCATTTACCCTGACAAAATATGTACCTGATGTACTAACCTAAGTGTGCTATGATTACTACTGAATTTGCATCTAACATAACAATGAATAGTCGTCGTAATACTAAGAACCAATGATTTGAGACTCACATGACAGTGAAGAAAAATTGTTTACAACGGAGCAGGTGAATTCACTCTCGACCGTTTTTCCACATTCTGAATACATTTACACTAATCGTTACTTTAGTGCGTCGGTGGTATAACGGTTAGGACGCTCGCCAAACATGCACATGGTCCGGGGTTCGCTCCCCGGCCGCCAACGCACTCCTTTACCTCGCTAAGCCAGACATAATGCTGGTAAAGAGGAAAGGTTGGCCATGAGGCTAGCAACTCCATCCTGTAAAAATAAACACTGCTACAGAAACTTCAAGCCACTAACTTGAAGGAAAAAATCGTTACTTTGATTATTCCGTCTTCTTTACACTCCTGTTCATTATACTTTCATCACAATTTCTTTTCCTTACTTTTGTTTTTTTTTCGAACTGTGGGGAATTGAACATTGATGCACTTTGCGCTAAGTTCGACATTGTTGTTTCAATTTAATACGATTTGTATAACTGCACCTCCATAAAATTGAGTGCAAATAATTCACATTAATAAGAACTGAACATATTACTAAACACCCACAGTTAAGTACATGAATATGTATGATTTTTTTCAGTCTAACTGATTATCTACACACTTAATCCACGAAATAAAGTTGTCTGCTAAAACCTATTTTCTAATCTAATCGTTTGATTTATGCAAAAGGAAGACATTTTACAACTTAAACAACCATCTAGTTTTAATCAAAAATTAGTCCAAGTAATAGGCATAACCAAAGTTAATAATAATAGATACTAGATAGGGAATAGCAAGGCATAAATATCTTAAGAAAACAGTCCTTAATTGTTGGTTTGAGAGGCGAGGAAAGTTTTTTAGCACCCTTATCTGAAGCTATGAAATAACTCAAAACGATTGCAGACTGGATGATACGGTTCGAAATCCATTGCGGTTATGAAGATACAGGCCCTACTTCTTTTCCATTTTGCTTGTCTTACATTAGTTGGAGAATCCAGACATTTTCCTACCTTTTTCCTGTGATCTTTATACTCTGATCTGCTGATACAATGACGGTAACCTAAACGATTGTACAGTGACGTCTTAGGTTCATATGTCTGACTGTCACTTGTCCTAGTTGGTGAGTATTCTCATTGTTTTGGAAACAGTAGTACGGATAGATAGCAATAATACGCAAAAAGCACATATTTTTTACCTAAAATAATGACCAATGTACTATCCCAATGAAAGGCTACCTTGAAAACATAAGTGTATAAGTAGCTAACATCACAGATCGTTACATGTGGAAAACAGTGAAAGGTTTATGTAATTACGTGAAACCAGCCTTTTACTGAAAAGGAAATTACACCAAAATCACTCTGTTAAAGTAAATGCAGTATGCAACAGTAATCAACGAGTGAACTATGGCTGTAATGATTAACTCTGGTGTCCATAAAAAGCACTTTGGAAATAAATCTTTACATTAAATACGAAGTATTCTGTTGTAGAATTGCACACTAAACACAATACTAGTGAATACTAATATACAACTAACTACAAGAAACCACACACCTGGATAAATTTCACCTTACCTTGTCACCACTAGCATCTGGTTTCTTTGACCCACTTCCTTCCTTATTGCTTGTTTTACTGCTGCCTGAGTTTGCATCTTCGTCGGTACGCGCCCGCTTAGGTTGATCTCGGTGGTTTTGAATATCACGAGCAGCAGATTTACCAGACCGTAGAGTAGCACCTCCTAATCCTGAACCCTCCTCTGGGTCATCGAAAAATTCATTGTTGGGCATAACAGCTTTATCAGCAGCCATAATTGAAATTCTCTTGTCCGGGTCAGCTAGATCTCTGGCAACAGCTTCATTCTCCTCCAGATTCACAATATCATCCGGAATATCTAGTAGGTTTAATAAACACATTTACGTAAGAAACTATGTAACAAGTAGGCTATTATTTAAAATCTAGGTATTCGTAAGATAGTGAAAGTGTGTTCAAAGTTACTTTTTACTACTAAAATAAAATCTCACAATTTGAATGAATTCCCAAACTTACATATAGACATTGTGCACAGTTATAGATATATACTGATGTCATATAATAACTTGTTTACAGATATCAAGTGTATCCTTACAGCCTAGTTATAATACTAGAAATAGTGGGGTCATAATTTATGTTGCTACGAAAATATTCTTTTTTAAAAACTGGCAATGACCACACTCTACAATCATGAATTCATCAAAGCGACAAGTGATGGAAAGTGAATTTAAGTGAAGGCTTTTTAACAGGCAAAAATTAATCGAATCTTGTAATAGTTACTTGACAATGAATAATTTTATTTGGTTTCACCAGTAAGACACGCTAGAGAGGGTAGTGGAATTTTAAAACTACGCATTTTTGATTGGATTCAACTACAATGACTAATCATTTTCCAATCGAAAATCAATACGATTTGTATAAGTGCATCTCAATAAAATTGAGTGCAAATAATTCACACAGCGGTTAGGACGCTCTTCGACCATGCACATGGTCCGGGGTTCAATCCCCAGCCGACGCAAACCCGATATCAATAGTCGGCCTGAGAAACTGGGCTACCGATATCACATGCTGAAAATTCCATACTTGTACCAAAAATACGGTGTGGAGTCAAGCTATAATCAAAATAAAGTAAATAAACTAAAACACGACAGTGGTTACACCAAAACATATAGGAATGAAATGAAACTGTTGAATAGAGCATGAATAGTTTGTAAAGGATCAACAATTAGATTCAAAACATGAACACACTACAACATTATGTAATCGACTTAACAAGGGCTTATTTCAGCATGTTTTGAGAAACCAAATGAAAGGTTTAAGTGAAAAAAATTGTCAAGAATAAGCTAACAATACATTATACTAACATGTGAAAATAAAACACACCTTGCATTTGTACACTAGGCGAGTGTGGTATCATTCGCAAGTTTTCAAATAATTTCGCCTTTATATGCTCTAAGTATTCATTTGTATTTTGATTAGCCATATTGCTGGGACTAATATGAAGCTTGAAATCAGGTCCAAAATACTCATAATAATCATTGTAAGGTAAATCATTGGGTAATTCAGTTGCTAAAGCGATAGACGTCTCAAAAGTCCAACATCTGGCAACGTTTCGAATGGTATAACCACCACCTGAATAAAACAATACCATTCAACAGAGAAGCAAATTAATTACCTCTAAAAATAAAAAGGTATTATTTCCACACAATCACCATAAAAAAGAAAGGATTAAATAAATTTTAACTTTCAGTGGGTAATGAGAACAGTTTTTATATGTGCAATTATTAACCTAACCGTGGAATAAGCTAAGATGATCAGAATAATTAATCATGTTTCTGAACAACAGAATAAGTAAAAAAAGATATGTTTTTGAAAATACAAGATCAGCACAAACCTCCAACAAGTAGAAGTGGTATAGGGAATGAACGGATGAACTCAACGCACTTCCCATGACCTCTCAAGCTTAAATTAAAGCATCCAAGTCGATCACCACTCAGTGAGTCAGCACCACACTGTAAGACGACAGCTCCAGGTCTAAAAGTTTCCATAACCTAGACGTGAATTAGAATTATGAGAGAAAACATACTTTTGTAATGACCGGTTTAAAGATCCGCTCATAGCAGTCATCATCCATACCATCTCTTAAAGGACAGTTGACGGCATAATATTTACCACGACCAGCACCAATATCCTTTAGATCCCCAGTACCAGGGAAATATTCTCCATATTTGTGAAAACTAACAGTCATTACTCTGTCAGTTGTATAGAAAGCTTCCTAGTTGAATGGATAACGATTAATTAAAACTCAACTTACTTCAACACCGTCTCCATGATGAATATCGATATCCACGTAAAGGACTCTTTGATGATATTTTAAGAGTTCTAATATACCGATCACGATATCGTTTATATAGCAAAATCCAGAAGCCTCAGACTTCTTTGCATGATGAAGACCGCCACCCCAATTAATAGCTATGTCAGTTTGTTGTTTATTAAGTTTGATGGCCCCAGCAATTGAACCCCCTGCAGACAACTGACAAAACTCGAAGAGCCCGTCAAAAACTGGACAATCTTCTCCAACATTAAAGCGTTGCATTTGTTTGTTGAATTCATGCATGTTATCTGGTCTAATATTTCTCAGGAACTTAACATATTCGTCACTATGAAATCTCGTCATATCTTCACTATAAGCTTTGGAAGGTCGATAAACTTCCATCTTTCTATAAAGACCATAGTTCAAAAGAAGATTGTGTGTCATCCTTATGCGATGTGGCTTCATTGGATGCCCCTGACCATAATAATAATTTCCTATGTCCCCTGAAATATAATTGAGTAAATAGAATTTTAGAAACAGTATGTGCTGGATTACAAAACTAAAATTAAACGCAGAGTTAACTGCCAAGCACAGAAATGTTACCAGACCGCAAACCATCAAAAATGAGTTGAAATCATGAGGACAAATTTAACAATAAACATTAAAATACAAACTAGACATCTTATATAAGATCAATTCGAATATTTTTGGAACCTAACTGCAGTAGCATTGTTTGCATATAAAAAACAGAACCAAAGATATTTGCACAAACATTAGCATTTCATACATTAGTAGTATACTTCTATTGCGAATTATACTATAGGTATGCCACTCAACAACTACATGCATGCTAATATAATTGGCAATTGACTGAAGATAAAAGTGGGTGAATATCAGTAGCTCTTTGTGTGCTTTTGGAAGTCTGTGGCGGTTAACGTTTTTAATCTAATCAATAACCAAAATACCTTTCTGGCAAGGTAGGACCTGCAGGAACATTTTTCCAGCCATTGTAGCTCGTTGCTATATGTAAGCCCAACCACCACGTCACTTGGTAGCTATCGGTCGAGACAGATGATATAGGGCATATCAGATGTTTGAGGACAGGTGGTATTAGGCTAATTATACACTTTAACCCTAGACCAACTGGCCAATATACGAGTGTCTAATCCAGTGAGCCACAATCATGTTTCTCTCATAAAGTGTTGAAAAATTACTGCTACAAAGCCAGAGATTCCTGTTTAACGGATGTAGATCGTTGATAGTCTCAGTTTATGAGGAAGGGAAAAGATTTCCACGTAATAACCATGGGAAAGCAGCATAACTAATACAACACTTGAGATCCTGACTAACTGGTTTCAACGTAGAACTTTGCACTGATGCGCAGCAGTTCGAGTCGCCACACTCACTCAGCATACAAGGCCAGAGAAGAAGTAAAAAGAAACGCAAGAGAGACAGTACACAGAGATATGAGGCAAAAAGAATAGTAATATCGAAGGACGATACAGTTTGATTGGAAATTATAAGTCACAAGGAGCGGATGCATCTGCGCCATTGAGAACGATTTTGAGTCATATCACCAATAGTCTACAACTACTGGTGTTTGCCATCCCAAAGGACCCCAAACAGGAAGTATACACCTTCCTATGTGGCTTAAACTAACTGTTGTAGATTTCATTGACTGACAAAGCCATGTTTGGGTCTGACCACCACTAACTCTTTTCCAACTTGACGATATGTCACCTAACATTGACCGTCGAGGAAGGCAATCGATGGCCAGGCATACGTAACACATGTCCTAACCATCTCAATCGATATAACTTCACAGCCTCGTCTACTGATTTCCTCTCTTTATCTAACACTCGACGCCTAACCTCAATATCGCTCACCCTATTATACCATTTCACACGGGAGATAGAACGCAGGCACCTATGATCAAGGACAGCTAGCCTTTTCATGTCTTCCACTCTCAATGGCCAGATCTCACAGCCATAAAGGAGGACGGAGCAGACTGCTGAGTCGTACAGACGTCCTTCGGTGGAAAGCCGGATATCACGTTTATTCAGTCAGAGACGGCGTAAACTGGCATATGCGAAACTAGCCTTCTGTATCCGTGCTGAGATTTCGTCAGAGATCAACCCGCTGGCACTGGCTGATGCAACTTCCCAAATAAGTGAAGTGGTCAACGTGCTCTACCACTTCACTCCCTATTTCTAAGCTAGGAGTCAATGTTATCCAGTCCTGTTGCATCATCTCACATTTGGCAGGAGCAAATCGCATGCCAAACTTTCGAAGATTGCAGCTCAAGGTGTTCAGAAGACTGCATTTTGTCAGCGTCTTCACCTAGAAGGACTATATCATCTGCATATTGTAAGTCACCGAGATTATTCCCTGGTAACAAGTCAATCCCTGAGTCTCTGAAGTGAGTTAGGGTTACTTGGGTCTTGTATGCGTGTCTCCGAAACACAACATACATCCATGGCTCGAGATCCAATAGTTCTTGTTAGTGATGCTTGTTGTCTGATTTGGCGGAGGGTTCTGACGTTAAATGCTCTTGTATGAAGTTGACGACGTGGCTTTAAGAGGGGGGTGTTTCTATGGCTCTCATCGTTATTTATGGTCAGTGAGTGAAGTGATGATGACTCACTAGCCTGAAGAATAGTACCGACTGTAGTAGGAAAGTAAGATGATGAGGGTGATGTGGGTAGAGGAGAATGATGCTCAGGAAGGCTTTGAGTGCTTTTGGAAGTCTGTGGGCCGTTACTTCTTGGCTGCCCACACCGTGGAAGTTGGTTGATTCTTCGAGTGCCTGAAACAGAAGAAGGATTAGTGTTGCGTGACCGCAGAGCCCAAGGGACAACTGCTTAAGACCGGTTACACACTGCCTGTATGAACTGGTTTCTGGGATTGGTTCCGTATTAGTAAACTTACTCCCGGTTACGGACCACCGTCCCGACCGAAAGCTGCTACCTTGACGTGGTGGTCGGGCTTGAACACCGCAATGACCTATTCAAGCTATACTGGCTGAGACTTATGTCTCTTGAGGTCTACCATGCCAGGCAGGTTGTTTGGATAGCGGTTAAACAAAAAGCAGCTACCCAATCCAACATCATGTCCAATACAAAATCACAAAATTTCATGCCGGATCGGCCGTGGCCCGGATTAACAACGACCGCGCTTCCTGCTGCCGTGTCACAGGGCAGGAGTGATAAATCTGCTACTGAGACACACCAAACAAAAAGAACAAACAAAAACAGGCCGCGTGTGACCGGCCTCAAGCAGTTGTCCCCTGGGCTCTGCGGTCACGCAACCAACTTCCACGGTGTGGGCAGCCGGGAAGTAACAATCGCCCTCACAATCCGAAATGCACACGAAACCTCTCTATTACTCACTCATCTTTGTCTTCATCTTCATCTCTATCATCTTGCCTTCCTTCCACTGATGCAACTCCTCGACTTGATAGCTCTCCACTTCCTCTCCACTCTGCGTCCACTAAAAACGATGGAAGCCAAAAAACCACCACCGACAGCCTCTTAAAGCCGCGCCACCAATTTCATATAGGAGCTCTTAATGTTAGGACACTTTGCCAAATAGGACAACAAGCATCACTAGCCAAGACCCTGGCATCACGAGCCATTGATGTATGCTGTGTTTCAGAAACACGCATACAAGACCCAAGTGTGGTTATTCACCTAACCCCACCTGGCCAACAGGTTGAATCTGCAAAATTCACCTTGAGGGTGTCAGGAGATGCCACAGCTAGTTCACGAGGATTAGCTGGCGTAGGGATAGCTTTGAGTACTAGGGCAGAAAAGACATTGCTTGACTGGATCCCGGTAGATAGCCGAATGTGTGCTGTCCGCCTGAACGGATCAGTAAGAAGGAGGAAGGACTGCACTACTCGCCGATGCCTTTTCGTAATCTCCGCCTACGCCCCCACTGACTGCAGTTCAGATGAAACGAAGGATGAGTTCTACCAAAAGCTGTCTAGTTTGGTGGAAAGGCTAAACGCTCAGACATAGTCGTTCTAGCTGGTGACTTTAACGCTCAAGTAGGGAAATTGTGTCAATCTGAGAAGGATGTCGGTGGCACCTATGGAGTTCCGTGCCAGCGAACCGACAACGGTGACCGTCTCCTACAGTTCTGCTCTGATAATCATTTGTTTCTTGTAAGCACTAACTTTAAACACAAGGAGAGACACTGTTTGACTTGGAGACCCCCTTCATCAAACCAACGCTGGACACAAATAGACCACATAGCAATAAGCTATCGTTGGCGTGGGTCGGTAGGAGATTGTCGCTCCTTCTGGAACACGTGCGTAGATACCGACCATGCACTGGTCCGCGCTCGGGTGTGCTTACGACTGAACGGACGTAGGAAACAGCTGGCGGTAAAACCATCACGTCCCCAGCTCGATCAGGAAACTAAATCCGTATTTGAGGAAGAACTAGCTAAACACATATCTGTGTTCGACAGCTGTGCTCACCCTGAAGAAGCTTGGAAAAATATCCAGGCAGCCATAGATACAGCTGTAAAAGCTGTGAATAAGGTAAACCCAAAGGTGAGTAAAAACCACTGGATCTCCACCGCCTCATCCGAACTGATAGATGCTAGAAGACTTATTCCGGCGAGCTCCGAATTCAATGAGGAGCGAAAGCTGCACAAGAGGAAACTTACGAAAAGTCTCCGCAAGGACCGTGAACAGTGGTGGGCGACAAAAGCCAAAGAGATGGAGAAAGCTTCGAGGATAGGCAACACCAGGCAACTCTTTGGACTCATCAGGGAAACGGGTGGGAGAAGACAAATCATCAGTGAGACAATCTCGGAAAAAAATGGCACTATAATTAGCTCCAGGATAGACGACTGGATCGTTGGAAAGAGCATTATGAGGAGCAGTTTAATTTGCCCACAGCCACGCTCAACCTTCCGAGCATCCAACACCTCCCTGAATGGGATATAGACACAGGTCCTCCGTCACTAACTGAGGTTACTAAAGCTGTCACCAATCTGAAACTAGGCAAAGCAGCGGGACCTGATGGAATGACTCCAGAGGTATTTAAGTACGGTGGAGACAGCTTACTGTCCGGATTAACTGAGGTACTAGGCAGCGTCTGGGAATCAGAAGAAGTCCCATCGGGTTGGTGTAAGTCACTGATTATCCCCATATACAAGAAGGGAGACAAGTCTTCCTGTGATAATCACAGAGGGATTAGCTTGACTAATATAGTATCTAAAGTCATAGTCTGTCTGTCTGTTTTCGACATAGAACTTTGCACAAATGTGCGGAAGTTCAAGTCGCCACATTCCGTGTAGCACGCGAAGCAAGAGAAGAAAGTACAAGAAAAGCAAATAGAAACAGTGAGCAGAGGTGTGAGGCAAAGGAGTAATAAACAAATACAAAACAGTTTCATTGGAGATCATAAGTCACAGGGAGTGGATGCATCTGCGCCACTGAGAACGATTTTGAGCCATGTCACCAATTGTTTCCAACCATAGATTTTTGCCG